AAAAAAAAAAAAAAAAAAAAAAAAAAAAAAAAAAAAAAAAAAAAAAACTTCAACATAAAAAGAAAAAACGTAAATTAAAATTAAAGAGTTTCTTAACAAGCCATAACTAAAGCAGCGACCCCATTTTTTTTAACATTAAGATAAAATGAACGGTTTAAATGGATTAACATTAAATGTCAACACGAGTATAGTTCAACGGTTACAGCTTCTAGTCCTCCATCTCCGACCTTATGTGGGTATAATATTCTTAAACAATGCTTCATTACAAGTCAAAACTGTTGAAAAGGCTCATAGCAGAATGTTTCTTCCAAGCTACCTATTAAGTTCCAGCAAATGAATTGATAGCTTTGCTTCCCAAGCTGCTTCTCTGCTTGAATTTTGTCTTTAGAAAGAGAACTTGAAAGCGCCAGCGTTCGAATCTGCAACCGAGTCCCAGAAGGAAAGTTTCTTCTGTTCGGCCGCCTTCTCTGCAGCTTTCTGAGTCAACTGATCAATGGTTCCAGGGAAAGAAGAATCGATAGCATTTTTAAATTTATCATATAGATTCACGGGATCTTTTGTTCCAGAAACCAACATGCTTGCATTTGGTCTTTTAAGAAAATCCAAGACATTCAACAGATTTCTTCTGCAGATCAGAAATCAATATAAACATCTCAGTGCATGAAATGGAACTAGGCAAATGATAGAGCAAAACTATCCCGAAGTTTACTTATATATGAAGAGGTGCGAAGTAACTTAAAAGATCTCCCTCGGCACTAACTTACAGAAAGTGTAATGGCCAAGTCTACCATAAGCAGATAGTGTCATTTTTGGGATTTTCTCTCAAGGTTTTTAAAACATGTCTGCTAAGGAGAAGTTTCCACCCCCTTACAAAGAATGTTTCGTTCTCCTCCCCAACAGATGTGGGATCTCACAATCCACCCACCCCCTTCGAGACCCATCGTCCTCATTCGCATTCGTTCCTTTCTCCAATCGATGTGGGAACTCCCAATCCACACGAAGCAGTGTGTAAGCAAGGATGCTGAGTCCCAAAGGGGGTGGATTCTGAGATCTCACATTGGTTGGAGAGGAGAACGAAACATTCTTTATAAGGGTGTGGAAACGTCTCTCTAGCAGACACGTTTTAAAAACCTTAAGGAGAACCCCGAAAGGGAAAGCCCAAAGAGGACAATATCTGCTAGCAGTGGGCTTGGGCCGTTTGTACCCTCATTTCTTATTCCATTTGAAAAATAATTTACCATCAGACTTATCACAACAAACATAGAAATATGCCATATGGTCCCATAGAAATATGCCATATGGAGACATGATTTGGCAAAATATGCTTTTGAAACGGAAGTTAAGTATATCATATGCATGCTACTCTTCAAAAGAAATGACATGATTTGGCAATAACTATAGGACTTACAGAGGATCCTCCTCCTACAATGCCAGCTATAGGACTGAAATGCTTAATCATTCATATTAGTTCTAAGTTTCCTCGTTTCCTTGCATTTCTAGCCTCCCTTCCGACCTTTCTCACTCATGATTTATCCATGATTACAGGAACAGCGGGGTTGTTCTAGCCACTACAGGAGGCAAATTATTTACTTATTGTGCAAGTAAAATACAGGAACT